CGTTTTCTGCATTGCATAGCTGCAAAAAACGCATAAAAATAGCATCAGCCAATTTTTATGTTGAGGGCAGGTTGAACAGATTTTAGCCCAGCTTGTAATAAAGTCGTTGTTGAATTTGTCAGAGGCCATCGGTTGCTATTATTATTAGTGACTGAACAAACTTCTTATCAGTTGATGTTGCGATGGAATGCTGCTGATACTCCTCTTCATTAAGATACATTTTAATTTATTTTTTTTTTCTTATCTTCTGTATTTGAATGTACTTTTTTTTAAACCATAAAATGAGGGGGTTTACAGCATGCTCTTTATGTCAACTGATAAGAAATTTTTCCTTTTTTTTGCAAAAAAGACAAATCCCTTAAGTCGTATTTTGAACCCCTTAACCTGTGTTTTTTTGAACTTCGCTTAAGTGGAGGCTGTATTTGAAACTTTTAAGTTGCTGTAAACTTTTAATTTGTTATTTTCACAGAATTATACTGGCATTTTGGGTGATTTACGGGGACGAAGGGGGGGGGGGATGATTTTGATAAAGCTTGTTATCTTTTTGTGCACTTTTTTTTTTCAGCTGGCACAATGGAAGCTTTGTTATGCCCACTGGAGCGGACACAAGTCCTTCTACAAATACCGGAATATAATCATCGGTACCAGAATACAGCCCATGCATTCGGCGAGCTTGCCAAGGTTTTTTTTCTTTGATTTTTATTGGATTTTTTGAGTGGTAAAAAGAAATTAATTGCTTTTGCAGCCGAGCTTGTGGCCTCTTCCATACCTGCATTCCTTCTTGTCCAGCTTCCTAGGACTCCTATTAGTAATTTTACTTGCTCTTTTTTAAATTATTTCTTGCTTGAAAGGATTTTTTTGACCATTTTTTGTTTTAAAATTTTCTATAGATATGTTTCATTAGCTTGCTTTTCCCAGAGCTTTTTGTTTTTGCAAAGAAAGTCCTTTTTCGCCAATAACTGGACATGAAGTGGGCCTTTTCAGGCCTCTCGCATATAAGCAGTATTTTCTGGATCAAGGGGCAAATTGGTTTTCGTCGTCTTCCTACTTTATTTGGCTTCAAAATTTTTAGGATTTTTAAAACTTGTTGCCTCAATTTTACCGTGATCATGCAGCGTATTGATATGAAGCTATAATGTTACTTTGATGAACTTATGCAACGAGAAGTAAACTCAAGCCATGCTTTTTTAGCTTAAATTCAAATTTTTTACCGCTGTCTCGAACTTTTAGCACACCGTCTTTTTGTAGTTTCCTCTTCCTCTTTTTTTAAGAAACGCTTTTTTTCTAAATTTTTCAAAAACGGTTCCGTTCAGGGTGCATTTGTCAGCTGCTAATTATAAACTTATCATAGGCGAATCCCGGACCGACTCCTGGGGAAGGTGGGAGGTGACGGGAGATAGGGGAAGAGTTGGGCTCCTCGGGAGGGGGGAAGATGGGAAGCCACGAGGGGGTGAAGGGAGATAAGGTTCGTGGGGGAGGGTCACGAAGGGTGGGAGAATGCCTCCTCCCATCCTGAAACTATGCAGAGACTAAGAGATTTGTAAAGCTGCTACTTAGAGTTACTTTAGACTTATCTATGAACTGACTCGGGTTTTGTAGCATTGATGCCT